GAGACCGGTGTGCGTCAAGGGGATCCGCTAGGCCCGCTACTCTTCGCCGCCGGGATTCACCCCGCCCTTACCAAAACCGCAGCGGCCTTCCCCTCCGTGATGTGCCTGGCCTTTGCTGACGACGTTACATTCTTGGGCGAGCCGCTGGAATGTTCAAAGGCCTTCTGCCACTTCATAGAGGGCCTGCGCGACGTGGGGTTGCGCCACAACCCAGAGAAATGCGCAGCGTGGAGTGCAGCGGCGGTCGATCCTCAGGTGCTGCCGCAGGGGGTCCCATTTTGTGAGGAAGGCCTGCGGGTGTTGGGGAGTTTCATCGGATCTCAGGAAGGTGCAGCGGCTTTCCTACGCTCGCAACTCGAATCCATGTCTACCCCACTGCCGCACCTCTCAAAAATGGACCCCCAAGTAACCTCACTGCTATTGACGCGGTGCATCTCCAGGCGCATATCCTACCTCGCACGCACAACCCCGCTCTACCTGTTACCCGAAGCAGAATGGACCAGGTGGGGCCGGGCCCTGCTCCACGCCCTACTTGACGCGTGTGGGGTGCGCCACCCACGGGGAGAGTCGGAGGCCGCGCGGATATGGGACCAGGCATCACTCCCGCCAAGCCTAGGAGGGCTAGGCCTCGCAGACCCAGTGGTAGAGGGTCGGTACAGCTTCCTGGCCAGCCTAGTACAAGCGCACTCCCTCCTCAGCCCCCTCCCAGGCCCGGCGGGGTCTCACCTCACGGCAGCCCTACACAGCCTTGAAGCGGCGAACACGAGCCCGAATGAACTGCAGAGGTGGATCAACGACTGCAGAGAGAGTCTAACACAGGAAGCAAGGGACCTGATTGCCTCCGAGCTTGCCAAACCCGCAGGCCAGCTCCAACACCGACTAGCACTCATAGTCCAAGGCAGTAGGAGTGCCGCGCAGATCACTGCCTCTAGACAACTGGAGCTGAACCCCCGGGCGGGCCACACGCAGCGCCTCATCTCACTCACGGGCTACGGGGCAGGGGATTGGCTACTCGCCATCCCCTACATGCCCGCCCTGCGGCTCTGCCCCGAACACTTCACCTTTGCCCTCCAGTTCCGGCTCGGCCTGCCCATGTCCGTACCCAAGTGCTGTGACTGTGTCAAGCGGGTTGCTATCCTCGACAAGAGGCTGCCAAACCACCTACTGCGCTGTGGTACGGGACACGGTCGGACCAACACGCACAACGAGCTCCGCGACGAGTGCATCCGCATGGCACAGGATGCCGGGTTTGCGGTACACAAGGAATGCACTGCCTTCAGCCCGGTGGATAACAAGAAGGCCGATTTGGCCTTCCGGGATCGGACCTTGGGGGCGGTATGGCTGGCAGACGTAACGATCACAGACCCCATAAGCAAACGAGATGAGAGGGCAAGGAAGGGGAGGGGCTGGGCAGCGCGGGAGCAAGCAGACAAGAAAATAGGGCTTTACCATGGCAGGGCAGACTTCGCAGGGTTCTTCCCCTTAGCAGTAGAAACCTACGGCTGCCCCTGCGAGGAAGTACCGACCTTCCTCAAGCTCCTAGCTGACACGGCAGCGAGGAAGCTCTTTAATGCGGACCCCTCTACCTACCAGGCCGCTAAGATGCTTCATCAATTCCGCCAGCGGTGGTCGGTGGCCCTGCAAAGAGCACAGGCGGTTAGCTTCCTCATGAAGCTGAACCTTGCAGCACAGGCGGAAAACCCCCCCTTAGGAGGACCGGAGGGGGAGCTGAACCCAAAGGACTGTTTTGCAACACTTGAGCCCCCGCATAGGGGCTGCTAGGGAGCATGGGTAGTCACTCACATGTTTGTTTCTGTTGTGTGATAACTATACTTGTTGTACGGCATGTTATATCAATGGAGGACCGTTTGAGAGAGAGAGAGAGAGAGAGAGAGAGAGAGAGAGAGAGAGAGAGAGAGAGAGAGAGAGAGAGAGAGAGAGAGAGAGGGGCCAAGGCTATTCAGCTCCCAGCCCAACCCAGACACACCACTGACAAGATTGGCTGTCTGGCCAGAGCTGAAGGCCTGGCTAAACGTGGGAACCTTAGAAAATCCCTCCAAGCCCTCCAGGCCACTCCTCCTGTGGCCCCCACCACATCTGACACTCTGGCTGCCCTCCAAGCGCACCACCCCCCTGCCGAACTACTCATCCCTGACTAGGTTCCCAGCCACACCACTGACACCCCACCTCTCATACCTCTTCGCGACTTCCGCAAAATCATCGCCAAATGCCCCAACGGAGTTGGAGCTAGACCCTCAGGCACAACTTTCAAACACCTTCGTGATGCTGCTCTTGGGAACCCAGATGTCTGCCAACACCTCCACGCACTCACCAACACGGCTCTCGCAGGCCAGCTGTGTCCCAAGGCCGCATCGCTGCTCACAGTCTCACGTCTGGTTGCATTCGTCAAACCTGGAGGAGGGATCCGCCCCATCGCAGTGGGTGAGTGCCTGCACCGCCTTATCGCGAAATGTGCACTTTATCTGACGCTCGCGGCCGCTCGCGACTTCTTCACCCCTCTCCAACTCGGCGTAGCAGTACCTGGGGGGACGGAAGCTGCCATCCATATCATCCGCACATTCCTGGAGGAAAACCTTACCGCGATCGCACTCCAGATGGACATAGCAAACGCCTTCAACGCCATCGAAAGAGCGCCGTCTTCGAAGGCCTGCAATCCACCCCACTCGCCCCCCTGCTCCCCTTCGTTAGACTCACATACGGCTCCGCCTCCATCTTACAAGTGGATGCAGGCTTCAATGCAGCTTCTCCAACGAGCGCGTGTGGAGTCCGCCAGGGCGACCCAATGGGACCGCTACTCTTTGCGGCTAGTATGCAACGCTTGCTTACTGCCACCGCCGCTGCGTTTCCGAACGTCGTCATCATGGCCTACGCGGACGATATCACATTCCTCGGCCCCGCGTCCGCCTGCACATCCGCCTTCAACCACCTCACGGCCGACCTCCTCCCCATCGGCCCGGCCCACAACCCTGCAAAGTGCGCAGCCTGGTCACCACGCCCCATGAACGACGCCGACCTCCCCACCGGGATCCACTTCAACTGCGCCGGTTTGCGGGTCCTCGGCAGCCCAGTCGGAACAGCCGACGGCTGTGCCATGCAGCTACGGGAAAAGCTCGCTACAGCAAGCACTCCGCTGCCGCTAGCATGGATCCCAACTCTCCCACCTCCTGCTCACCCGATGCATCAGCCGGAGAGCCTCTTTCCTCGCCCGCACCACCCCTCTAGCCCTCCTGCCCATAGCTGAATGGTCCGCGTGGGGTGAACGGCTGCTACACACCCTGTTTGCTGCAGCACAAATCTCAAAGCCTCGCGCCCCAGCGAAGAAGGAACGAATCTGGAACCAGGCCAGCCTCCCCACCACCATAGGAGGACAGGGACTCACTGACCCAAGCACGGAAGGCTCCTACGCCTACCTGGCGTCAGCCGTCGCAACGGCCCACCTCCTGCGCTCCCTTGGCTCCAAGCTGCACCACGAGGTGGCTGAACTCGCGCCACTGCTCAACGCGGACCCTACAAACCCTGCCGGACTGCCACAACGCTTGGCCGCCGCGGAAGCCAGCCTTCCCCCCTCAATAGCGGCTATGATAAGGGTCGGGCGGGAGAAGGGGGACGGGCTTAAGCTGCAACACGCACTAGCGCTCCACGTCCACTCGGCTAAGGCTGTCGCCGGCGTCCGCAGCAGCCGGCGCATGTCCCCAAACCCTCTCAAGGGCCACACGCAAAGCCTCCTATCCCTCCTCGGATCCGGAGCCGGCGACTGGCTGGCTGCACTGCCCCTGACGAGCGCCCTTCGACTCTGCCCCGCCCACTACTCCCAATCCATCCTCTTCCACTTGGGCCTCCCCCACCCAATCCCGCGCCAATGCGACTGCACCAAGGCTGTCAAGATCCTGGACAGCCTGCTGCCCAACCACCTGCTGCGCTGTGGGACAGGAAAGGAACGGACGAGCACACACCATGCCCTGCGGGATGAATGCGCCCGCATAGTCAAAGAAGCCGGTTACACTGTCCACATAGAAACAACGATGTATACGACGCTCAAAAACCTATTCGCGGACTTCTCGATCCGCGATCCCATCACTGGCTGTATACACATCTGTGACGTTACTGTCACGGACCCCATCTCCAAGTCCGACAAGCACGCGTGAAAGGGGACGGGGTGGGCTGCCTGTATGGTTGCAAAAAAGAAGATGGACAAATATGCAAATAGGAATGACTGGGTGGGGTTCATCCCCATGGCAGTCCAAACCTACGGCTGTACTTCACCTGGAGTGTTCGAGTTCCTCAAGATGTGCGCCGACCTGGCCGCCAAGCTACGTTTCAACGCTCCCCCTACCTCGGCGGAAGCAGCCAAGCTGTTCCACGAGTACAGGCAGCGCTGGAGCATCACTCTGCAGCGTGGGCAGGCGCATGCCATCAATCTGAAAACTCACACGGCCATGGAGGCGAATGCGGCTGGGATTGCGGATGCCACCGAACCACTAGCAAAAGGATACCTGTTTCAAATCCTAAAGCCCCCGCTTGGACCCTTTGTGGATCAGGCGGGTGGCGAGTAGGATGCTTGCCTCACCATCAATCTTGCATGCTTGTATGCATAGTGCTTATCAATACAACGGACCATTCGAGAGCCAGAGAGAGAGAGAGAGAGAGAGAGAGAGAGAGAGAGAGAGAGAGAGAGAGAGAGAAAGAGAGAGAGAGAGAGAGAGAAAAAGGGGATCCCTTAGCCCTCAGCCCTCTGCCTTATCCCTCTGCCCTCTACCCTCCAGAGCTATTTAAGGGCTGTTTGGGTCCCTTTCTCCTCATTATTTTGTGTGGAGTTCATTTTCGGCGGCTCGCGCCAGCGGCCTTCGGCCGCGCGCTCCTGGCGGCAAGAAAACAAGGCAGAGGATTGCAAATACGGGGAAGTACACACGAGCAAAGGAAGCAAGGGAGAAGGGCTTAAACAAGACAAGACGGCATGCAGTTCTACACTAGGCGAAGGCCTACATCGTGTACGGCTCCGCCCCCTCCACCTCAAGCATCGAGCGCATGCACGCCGACATCGCAAGGAGGAGATGCGCTGACGACTGAAGTGTGTCCACAGGGGTCCCGACTCGAGGAGCCCCTACAAGATCCCCCACGTGGCGGGGGAAGGTACGCGCTAAGGGCGCTACCCCAGTGGGCGCTTCCGACACGGGTGCCAACGGCGACTCGAGCGACTCTGCCAAAGACACGCAGGACCCTCGGGACCCTGGACCATAACTGCTCGGAAAGTTCCGCGTGGCCCCACACACCGCCAGCTGCAAGTTCGCCACCACCTCGCACGCCTCCGCCAGATTCAGAATCTGGCACATGGTCAGCATAGGGTCTCTCCCCACGTGAGTGGAGGGAGGTGCAGTCGGAGCTTCGCGCGGAAACGATGTCAGCCAACCAGGAGCCCGGCCAACAGAGAAGCGCTGTGCGGAGAAGCCCGGGACCTGACGAGGGGTGCGAATCTGAGCCCTCCCCTCCCGCGCAGGCAGATATTCGCACAGCGTCGGCACGCGCAGAGGAGCCACCTGGCAATGGTCCGCGGAGAAGGGAGGACCGTTGGTCACCTCAATGTGTACGTGAGTCGGCTCTCCACTCGCCCGCGCCTGCCGCACCACTTCCGCAAACAGATTCGTGGCCCGATCGAGGGCAGGATCCTGCCCGCGACCATTACCGCCACGCCCACCGCCATTCCGCCGGCCCCGCCGACCTCCGGAACCAGCAGAGTGCGGATGCGGATGGGACTGCTCGCGACGGCCCGAATCCCAGCGACGTCCAGGCGACCCCCTCCCCCGCGTCACCGGAGATCACCGCGGAGAGCATTGCGCGGGGGATCGCGCTCGGGGTGAGCGATGGCCTGCCCGACCACGAGGGGATGGGCGGCGAGGAGAGCAAGGACGCGCAGGGGACCGCTCATCCCCCTCCCTGCCCTGATGAGGTTCACGATGCTCAGGAGAAGGGCGGCGTGGAGAGGGCTGCCAAGGAGGCTGACGCGGAGGCGAGTGCCCGCGCTCCCACCGCGGCTGACCATCCGGGCGATTCGACGCAACACGTGCAGGGGCCCATGAATACTCCGGCGAAGTGGGGCGCGCGGCAGGCCGATGGGGAAGAGTTAGCACTCGCTCGAAGCGGCGGACGGGCTCGCTTGCGGAGGGGTGCGCAGGGACACGCGGACGAAGCCCGGCAGGCGCAGGCTCCGGCAGCGCGCTCTCCGCGGAACCCTCCAGCTCCGGATCCCATCTCGCAGATGGGTCCATCACCCCCGACAGTACCGCAGCCAACGCCAGCACACCGACGAAGCGAAGACGAGGCGGACGCGGCACCTCTGACAGGGCGCGCGGGAGCTGCAGAAGGAAGAGCAACGCATGGAATCCGCGTGGGACGCGGTGGCAGCCGCCGCGGACGACGGGGAAACGGGAGAGGACGAAGAGGTGGTGGAACACGCGGTTCAAACCGGCGCCGCACTGGTGCAAGCGGCTACGCGAGAAATGCAGAAAAGCTGATGCGGGACAGGGCGGTAGGCGGCAAGGAACCGCTTAGCGAGGAAGTAGAGGAGGAAGCTGAAAATGACGAAAGTGACGGGGGTGACCCAGCTTTTAACCATGAAAGAGAGGGGATGTTGGGAGCAGAAGCCGAGGACGAGAAGGAGTTGGAACTTCTGCTTCGGGGAGAGGAGCTCCCCAGCCCGAATGCCCGAGGCGAACTTGCCAACCGAACCACAGCTCAAAACCGAGCCGCGGGGGGAAATCAAACAAGGAGGGGAAATCGAGCCGCGACAGAGAACGGAGTTGACTCTGCGACAGCCAATGAGAATTCAGCAGCCCCAATTCCAACCCCCCCGATCCTCAAACCTGACGACCTGGCGAAAAACTCTGACCTGTTTGCCCAGGTTGCAGACTGGGACCTTGGCCCGTTGCGCGACAGTCGCCAGCCCCCACTCGCCCGCCACCCTCAAAAAGACCTTTGCGATTTGCCTGCTGACACCGTTACTCCACCTAGCAGCCAACCCCGAGTCAGAACCAGGTTGGAAGTTACTGACCTTCCTCCCGCGCATACTTCTTCGCACCTCGTCAGCTCGTCAGCCTGACTGGAGCGCAATGATGAACCGGCTCCTACGTTTTTGCCAAGGGTTCTGGGCCGGCCTCTACGAAGAAGCTGCCGAAGCAATCTCCCTCCCACCGCTGCCTCGCCACGCACCTGACACAACTGGAATTCTCGCCAGAGCGGAGGGTCTGGCGAAGCATGGTAACCTCTCAAAGTCGTTGCAATCCGTGCAAGCCACGCCCGTGTCACCTGCCTCACCCAAAGTCCTCGAGGCCCGCACGGCGAGACACCCACCTGCATCCCAATCGCTACTTGATTGGCTACACGCTGCCACAGCAGAAAATCCTCCCGCTATCGAAGCTCACGACTTCCGAAGGCTCATTGCCAAGCTCCCCAATGGAGTTGCCGAACACATCCGCGACGCAGCCCTAGGAAACGCCGAGGTTTTCACCCACCTCTTAGCCCTCTCCAACACGGCTCTAGCAGGGAAACTTCCTGCCGTCGCGGGGGAGCTCCTTACCGCCTTTCGCCTGTTGGCCTTCACGAAACCGCACGGAGGGACGAGGCCGATCGCGGTTGGAGAATGCCTACTGCGAATCATCGCCAAAGCGGCACTCTTCTTGATCGCGCCGTCCTCTAGATCTCACTTCGTCCCCCTTCAGTTCGGCGTGGGAGTAGCGGGGGGCATTGAGGCGGCTAAACACACGGCGCGTACATACCTGGAGGTCCACCCTGAAGCAGTCGCGCTGCAGATCGACCTCGCGAACGCGTTCAACGCGGTCGAGAGGAGAGCGGTGTTCGAGGGGTTGAGGAACGATGCGCTTGAGAGCCTCACCCCCCTGGTCCGCCTATCTTACGGAGTCCCCTCCACACTATTCCTCGACCATGAATTCGTGGCGGCTCCCCTGCAAAGCGCCAGAGGGGTCCGCCAAGGAGATCCTCTCGGCCCCCTACTATTCGCCGCCAGCATCCACCCCTGCCTCGTCGCGACGGCAGCGGCTCACCCGCAGGTCATCCTACTCGCCTATGCCGATGACATCACGCTCCTTGGCGACGCGCCAGCCTGCGCCGCGGCCTTCGACCACCTCACAGCCGCGCTCGCCTCTATGGGGCTCCTCCACAACCCGGCTAAGTGCGTGGCTTGGTCCGCCGCCCCAATTGACCCTGCCTCTGTCCCCCCCGGCATCACCATCTCGAGCGAAGGGCTGCAAATCCTCGGCAGCCCCGTCGGCACACAACAGGGCTGCTCTGCGGCAGTCAGGGATAGACTCACGGCAGCAGCTGAACCGCTCCCGTTGCTAGCGCAAATGGACCCGCAGCTCTGCCTCCTCCTCCTCACACGTTGCGTCAACCGCCGCGCCTCCTTCCTGGCAAGGACAACCCCGTTGGAGGTCTTGCCCGTCGCAGAATGGTCGGCATGGGGGGAGCGGCTGCTCCACCCGTTCCTAGAGGCCGTTCACATTGTCGCACCAAAGAGCAACGCGGAAAGGAGGCGTATTTGGCGGCAAGCCGCGCTTCCCGTTACCTTGGGAGGATTGGGCATTACGGACCCGGCCGTGGAAGGAAGTTACGCGTACCTCGCTTTGGTGATCGGCGCGGCTCACCTCCTGCACTCGCTCACCGACTCCCTACACCCCGCCATAGCTGCACTGCTCCCCCTTATGGACTCTGTTCCAGACTCCGTAGCAGCCCTGCCCTCGCGCCTAGCTGCAGCTGAAGCGGCCCTACCTCCAGAAGCCCTGGAAGCCCTTCAGGCTGGTAAAAGTGACCCCAAGGGCCTGAAGCTCCAGCAGTCCCTGGCCCTGGCAGTCCATACCCGCCGCTACCTCCGAGTGCTGAATAGGGCGCAGCGGATGCGCCCCAACCCCCTCTCAGGGCATGCCCAGCGGATGCAGTCCCTGCTGGGCCCGGGAGCAGGGGACTGGCTGTTGGCAATCCCTCTCTCTTCTGCGCTGAGGCTGGGCCCCTCCCAACACTCTACTGCATCCGCCTTCCGCCTAGGCCTCCCCCTCCCTGTCCCGAGGCGGTGCGACTGCCGATACCGCACCACCTTCCCTGATGACCGCCTCCCGAATCACCTTTTGCGCTGCGAGAAGGGGAAAGGGAGGACTGCCACACCCCATGCTCTCAGGGATGAGATTGCAAGGATTGGAGCGGAAGCAGGCTTCACGGTTCACAAGGAGACCTATGCCTATTCTCTGGTCGAAAACCTCAAAGCGGATGTCTCCATCCGCCATCCCCTGACCGGAGAACTCTGGCTTTGTGATCTGACCGTGAGCGACCCGGTGTCCTACCAGGATGAGAACTGCAACCGCGCACCAGGATGGGCAGCTAGGGCGGCAGCTACTAGGAAGGAGGAGAAACATGGGGGACGGAACGCGTGGGTGGGGTTCCACTCCTTGGCCGTGGAGACCTATGGCTATCCGTCACCGGGGGTGCTGGCTTACCTGCGGCAGTGCACGGAGCTGGTTGCGAAGCTCCGCTACAATGCGGCCCCTACCTCCCGAGAGGCTGCCAAGCTGCTGACGGAGTACTGCTAGCGCTGGGGACAGAGCTAACCCTCTCTCTCTCTCTCTCTCTCTCTCTCTCTCTCTCTCTCTCTCTCTCTCTCTCTCTCTCTCTCTCTCTCTTGAATCGCCTGGGGACAGACTAGGGACAGGCTGGGGGTAGGCTGGTTCATTTTCTCGAATTTTAGTCTCTGCCCTTAGCCTATGCCCCTAGTCTCCTAGCTATATAAGTGTCCCGTGGGGACCTCTTTTCTTCATTAGTTCATTTGGTCCCAATTTTCGTAGTTGGAGAGAGCGAGAGAGAGAGAGAGAGAGAGAGAGAGAGAGAGAGAGAGAGAGAGAGAGAGAGAGACAGGCAAGCACCGCACAAACACTCACAACGAGCTGCGGGATGCTTGCGTTAGCATGGCGCAAGATGCGGGCTTTATAGTCCATCGGGAGTCAACCGCCTACTGCCCCATCGAGGAACAAACGGCGGATTTCACAATGACGGACAGAAGCAGCGGAGCGGTTTACATATGTGACATCACTGTCACCGATCCTATCAGCACCAGGGACCCAGAGGCTAAAAAAGGCAGGGGGTGGGCGGCGCGTGAGCAGGCCGACAAGAAGATTAAGCACTATGCCAACCGCCCAGAGACGGTTGGCTTCTTCCCCCTGGCGGTAGACACATACGGCTGCCCATGCGCGGAGGTACCCGTCTTCCTCAAGCTCCTCGCGGACTCAGCGGCTCGGCGGCATTTCAACGCCGACACAAAATCTTTCTATGCCGCCAAGTTCTTGCACCAGTTCCGGCAGCGCTGGTCAGTGGCCCTGCAAAGGGCCCAATCCGTGGGGCTTCTAATGAAGTTGGGCGAGGCGGCGGTGGCAGAGAACCCTCCGGTGGGGGGCATTGGGTATGAGCTGCACCTGGGGGTGCAGTGGTGGAGCCACTCCTAGAGCTCTATAGTGGGGTAGTATGGGGGTGGCGGAAGAGCTTAGGTGATGCTTGCACAATTTTTCCATTTGCTTGCTTTATACCTTGCATGCGTATATTTTCATGATCTATCAATACACGGACCGAGAGACAAATCCTATCATGCCGCGAAGTTTCTGCACCAGTTCAGACAGAGGTGGTCGGTTGCACTGCAGAGGGCCCAATCCGTGGGTCTCATGATCAAGTTAGGAGAGGCAGCGGCTGCAGAGAGCCCGCCTGTAGGAGGGATAGGGCAGGAATTGTACCTTGGGGACTGCTTTACCGTCCTTGAGCCTCTCCTTGAGCTCTAGGTGACTTAGTGGGGTTGGATAGTCTAGGTTACCTTGCGTGTTAGTACCTGCTGTCTCTCATTGCATGTGTGTACCCTTCTGGCCTATCAATATACGGACCATTAGAGAGAGAGAGAGAGAGGCCCTAGGAGCTAGTCCTTAGCCTCTCCAGCACTCTTCAGACTAGTATAAAGTGCCCCTCTGCAGCTAGTTCTCTTCATTGTTCGATTTCCTTTTCATTTGTTTCTCCTAACCGAGCGGGAGAGAGAGGAGAGAGAGAGAGAGAGATAGAGAGAGGCCCTAGGAGCTAGTCCTTAGCCTCTCCAGCACTCTTCAGACTAGTATAAAGTGCCCCTCTGCAGCTAATTCTCTTCATTGTTCGATTTCCTTTTCATTTGTTTCTCCTAACCGAGCGGCTCGCGCCGGCCGCCGAAGGCGGCCGACGCTCGACAGCGCGGCCT